TACCCTCCAGGACTTATAGAACGGGACGGGTAATAGCATGCAATAAGCATTCGTGACCAATCCACACGTTTAAATAACCTTTACGGGGTGGGAAGGGTAGAATATGGAGATGATGACCAATGCGCTAATATCACGTGCGACCCCTCTTTGAGGAGTGATTGCTGGGTATTGCATTGAAGTGATCTATATTAATCATAAACCTAGGATCCTTTTTCCTTTGTTTGTCTTTGTTTGCTCTCTCTTTAGAATTATTTAGACCTTTCAAATCTCTGCTCTCTTTCTACTTACTTTCACAAGTTTCAATTTAATTGCAAGTCCTTATTTGAGCCTTGATTGATTATTTGTAAAGTAACAACATAGCATGGCCGGGAACCACACTAGTGGATCTTGAGGGGTGCCTAACACCTTCCCCTCGAGATAATTTCTAGCCCTTACCCGAACTCTAGTTTTAAAATTCAAAACCCTTAGTGTCCTAATGCACTTAATCATTAGGTGGCGACTCTTCAAACCCAAAAACCCAATTCCCAAACGGGAATAGAGTTGTCTTCCCGAATATCGTAAACCCGATTTCGCTTTAGAAAAGGGGGGCATCGACAGTTACTGCAGTGAGTGCAAAGCCAATTGTCAAGTACAGTAACATACTTGTTATGAGGGTTGTAGGGAATCTTTTCCCTTTGGAACCCAATTCCCTGCCTGTTTCCCCCCATTATTGGTGTACATGGCAGCAATAGCATCAGAGGACCAGGTCCACTTGAGTAATTTTTCAAGATCACTTTTCACTCTACCTAGTTCTTCCTGAAGTTGTTTATTTTTCTCAAGCTCAGCACACAGACTAGACTTCACTGAATTTAACTCACTTTCAAGCTTAATGTGTGCCTCACTTGTAACTTCCTTTCCCTTTTGAGAATTTTCAGGCCTACTCTTCATCTTAAGTTCCCCAATTGTTTCCTTCAAGTCCACCACCACCACTAATAGGTCATCTCTCTCATGCTCAATGTTAGCAACTCTCTCAGCTAAGATTTCTTTTTCTTTTCTTGCACACTCAATGGTCTCTTTTAGGTCTACCTGAACAAACATTAGATCATCTCTTTCATGTTCTACATTTGCAATTTTTTCATCTAAGGTATCCTTATCTTTCTTCGAGTTCTCAATTGTTTCCTTTAAATCAACTACAGTGACTACTAGGTCATCTCTGGTCTGTTCTGCTTCTCCTAACTCCACAATTAAATCATCTTTATTATTTATAGACTGTGATAAGCATCAATTAACACATTTGTCAATGATATGAGTTTTTTAGGAGAATAAGATTTTAGATTTCTCTGAACATCAAGAAAATTTACCTCATCATCGTCGTCATCTTTATCATCATCAAACTGATCCATCAAGGCAAAGATTGAATCATACTCAGTTGCTTCACTTTCCACTGCCATCATTGAACTATCTCCATGATCATTTTCTTCTTCAGATTCGCTGGAGGAGTCTCCCCATGCAACAAGAGCTTGCTTTACAACATTGTCAGTGGCATTTTTCCTCTTGAAGCGTTTATCAGGAATCGAGTTCCTCTTGGATGCTTTGTCAAAGTTGTTTTTGTACTGATCTTGCTTTAGGAGAGGGCAATCCTTGATGAAGTGTCCTGGCTTGCCACATTTACGACAGAATTCATAAATTTTTGGCTTGCTAGAACTTCCCCTTTTTAGAATGCCTCCATTCCTGCGAACCATCTTCTGGAATCTTCATGTCAAGTAAGCCATAACACTATCCTCATCACTTGAACCATTGTTGTCTGTCTTGAGGACCGGGTTCTTCTCCCTTTTGGGCTCTCTTCTTTCACTGTCCTTCTTCTTCTTTATTTCATATGTTTTCGGATTCCCGACAAGCTCATCAATGGTTAGCTCCTGCAAGTCCTTAGCCTCTGTAATGGCGTTCACTTTGCTTTCCCAAGAACTGGGCAGCACACTGAGGATTTTCTGACAAGCTTGTTTCTTGGAATAATTTCACCAAGAGAGTGAAGCTCATTAATGATAGAGGTGAACCGAGTATGCATATCTTGAATGGATTCATCATCTTTCATCCTAAAGAGCTCGTATTCAGTTGTGAGCATGCCTATCTTGGATTGCTTAGCATGTGTTGTTCCTTCGTGAGCTGTCTGAAGAGCCTCCCAGATTTCTTTTGCTGATTGACATGCTGATATCCTGTTATATTCATCAGGACCAATGCCACAAACAAGAATTTTCTTTGCACGAAAATTCTTTTCTATGGCCTTTTGATCAGCATCATTGAATACCTTCCTTGTCTTGGGAATGGCTACAGCTGGGTCGCCAAGATTCTTGGTAGGAACAAAGGGTCCATCACAGATAACATCCCAAGCTCTAAATATTCAGCCATGATGAAGTCGTGCATCCTAGTCTTCCACCATCTATAATATTGGCTGTTGAACCTTGGTGGCCTGTAAGTAGACTGGCCTTCTTCGAAGTTTAGCGGAGCAGCCATGCGGATCCTTTCTAGGTATTAACCTGATAGAAAGAACCCGCTCTGATACCAATTGATAGAATTTAAGGGTCCACCAAACTCTATAGAGAACCAGGTTATCTATCAGGTTCAACAGAACACACGCACACTGCAGTAAATAAATGACAAGAGGAATTTTATGTGGAAATTTTCCAGCTCAACGGGATTAAAAATCACGACCTACCCTTGTAGGATTTCAACTTCACTGCTGAGCAACTTTCAGATTAAGCAACCTAGGAATTAACCTCTTAATCCCTCACTAACTTGTAACAAACACTCTATTACAAGCCACTTTGTAATTAACTCTATTACAAAGACTTTTACAACTTAACTAACTCTAGCCAAGACACAAACACAAGGGTTTATGATTTACAAAGGGTTTCCTATGCAATGCTTCTAATTAAGCTAAGTAGGAATTACAATTGAAGAACTATTACAAAGTTACAACTCAACTAAGAACATACAATAACTTGATATGGGGAACTGGTCTGTAGCAGTGTTGTTCTTTGTTCTTGATGCACTTGAGAATTGTCTTGATGATCAATCACGTGAGAGTGTTTGAGTGAATTCTCTAAGTGTTCAAGTGATTTGTTTTACCTTCCTTGATGTTAATAATACATGTGTGACATCACTTACAATGATGTAAGCAAGGTAGGTAAAAGGCCTTCCTCATAAAGTTGACTGCTGCATGTACTGTAGCGTGTGCAGGCAGCAATATTCCAGCTGGAGAGTTGACTTCGTACAGTTACCTCGGGAGCTGGTAGCGACCTCTTCCCTCTGTTGTTCCTTTGACTCTAACGAGTTGAACTGTGTCCTAGCTGGAGACATGTTGATCTTTTAAGGTCCTGAAGAAGTGTATCGGGTTCCTTATCTGGTTTTGTACAGTAAGTTTGTTAGATCATCAAAACATAATAGGGATACACATATAACCTATCAGGGTATAACCGCGTAAGTGTTACAGAACTAAGCCTCACACATAAGTTTCAAGACGTTTTGATAGTGCTCTTAGTTGTACAGCTGCATCTACGACGTTATTACAGAAATTCAAAATTTTCTGACAACCACTGATAACATGCAATTTGTCTATCATGTTGGGACAGACCAGGCAAGGAAAAGAAAAGGAAAAGAAAGGTAAAAGGAATAATGAAGTAAAAACTGAAAAGGACAGAAACTTGAACTATTCATGCAATTTTATCTGTCATCTCAAGAAGATTTTCAATCAGTGTTGACATTATTGTTCACATGCACATAAAGATTTAGTCACTGTTTCTATGTAACACTTCAATAATAGAGGCGATGAGTGTTTTTAGGTGAGCTCAATAATAGAAGATGGAGTTTTAATCAATTAAATTTGAGGAATATCCATGTATTTGGTAGTGGCCTGGGAGTTTTCTAGCTAGATGAACCTTTTACAAGAATGCTTTCTTCTTTCTATTGATCCGTAGCAGCTTTTATATTTGGGTGATTCTTTCTGATTATTCTTTTAATTGTAGAGTCTTCCTTTTATACTATTATATTGATATTCGGAGGTGGAGTTAGAAGCCTGGACATGGATTCGACCGAACCTACTAACATTTGCTCATAAATGTATTTGTATTAATAAACTCGTTAGATATGTACATATTTTAAATTTTAAAACTCAGTTATTAGAACTTGAAGTGGTCGTTCTAAACTTTAAAACTCATAAAGTTGAAATCCTGGCTCCGCATGTGTTAACCCTTCTTTTTTATCTTTTAATAAAACGTATATATACCAAGTACCCACTATCAATAAAGCGTTAATGCAACATCGAGCAGATATTAGAAAAATATTTCTTTTTATATGGAAAGACATGGAGAGTTTTCTTTATGAGTATTTTAGTCAGAGCTATGTGTCAATGAGAAAATCATTCCAAGTAGCATGTAAAGAGTTCTGTTTGAGTAAAATACAACATAGCAAAAGAGGTATTCATCAATCGGACTATCGGAATTGCAAGAAGTCCATTCATGGCCTTTGGCCTATAATAATTTGTGGGGGGGGGTGGGGGGGATTGGAGGTTAAGAATATCTTGACATGCATGATCTAGTGGAAAAAGCAATCAGTAAAATAGGAGAAAATGAAAATAGTATGCGGGTACTTGTTATGTTCTCATAAACTATTACTCCTAATTATATCCAAAGAAATGAATGTTATGGTAAAATCATTTTACCCTGTTTAATTTAATCAGCTATAACAGGTTATTACTCTAAATTTCCCGTCTCCATATCAGATTTGCTATGAAAAGTTGTCTACTATTATAGATCAATTTAATAACCCGATGATATGGTAAAAGGTCTAGCACTATATGTGTATGTGTGTGTTTAATTATGAATACACAAACCCAAGCACCTATATTTTTCTTCACATATTAAATCTAAAGTGTAAACTGAAAGCAGAGCCTAGATACTAAACCAGGCCATTAATTGGAGTGAAAAATTGTTCCATCCATTCTTCTTTTTCTTATGAAAGGGACAGTAATTTATTGAAACACCAAAAGTATGTAAAAATTGCCGGACAAATTAAAACCTTTGGCCACAAACACAATCAAGTCACCATTGTTTAAATTATTGGATCTCCTATTTATTGTGGTTAAGTCCTTTTCTGCTTTTTTGCTTTCCGTTCAATCTCCATTCACTTAATGCTTATTGCCTTGTCTTTGTTTCTCTCTCATCATCTCCTTCCCTCAGCTTTTTATTCATAGTGTTTATTGCCTGCTAGGGTTTTCTTCCCTTTCAAAAACTTGTACAAAAATCCAATAGTACCTTTTTAACAATCCTTTCCTATATAGAAGCAAACGACAAAGGTTGAAAGATTTGACGCTACCAAGAACAAGAGGTATTTTTTTTCCTTTCAATTTCTGGATCGACCTAAAAGTACTCTAAGATGTAGATCTATATAATATATAATCGTTAACAATTTCTTTAGACGTTTTCCAAAATATGCGTAATGGCATCTTTAGAAAGACAATCAAATGAAACTATAGAGATTTTGTAGTTTGATCTATAAAGTCTTGTTTTGCGGAACTTTGCAGGTGGAATGTCGGATAAAATCTTTGTAGTAAGTTCACATGTCTCACTGTTTCGTTACTGATGACTTGACATTTTTGGGTTCACTATATTTCATAAATTATGGCAATACACATATATTATCCTTCCCTTTGGCTTTAATTGGAAGTTAATTACTAGGCATGAAGCCAAATTAGATTTACACATTTTTCTGTCAGCCTTTGAGCTTGATTATAGTTTGATCCCATCTCCCTTGCGCTTATTAATATTTCCAAAGTTATTTTTCTAATTTAATATAAAGTAGTAGATGCAACAATATGAAGAAGGCTGAATTTGATTAAGTAGCAGAAGGAAATTCAGAACTATAAATATGTTGTTGATTAAAATTTGTAGCGCCATATATATATATATATATGCAAACTTTAAATTTAGTCAAGGCCTCCAAGATGAAGAAATTAAACAACAGAAGAATAACAATTTAGGTGTTTCTCATTACAGTTTCAAAAAGATTCCCTGTAGAGGAAAATTGATGTTAAGTTTGATGTTAGAACCATTACAGAAATATTTTAGTTGTGTCATTTTTTCCATTGGCAAAGTAATAACTTAAATCCATTTTGTAACACAATTACTCTTGAGCCGGGGTCTATCGGAAACAACCTCTTTACCTTCTCAGGGAAGGGTAAGGTCTGCGTACATACTATTCTCCTCAAATCAATTTGTGGGATTTCACTAGGTTTATTATTGTTGTTGTTGTGCCTATAATCATATACTATACATAGCCAAAGTCCGTGATCTTATAATTCTTAGATCATTGAATCTCGTTTACAATGACATGATCATAAGAATTCATTTGATCATGCGAATTGAGAATCATGGAGATTCTGCTTAAACATTTAATCACATATTCAAGATTTAAACTAAAACTTGCCTACATGATATTTATTTGTCAACAATGTTAAGGTCTGAAATATCTCCCTTTGATATGTCTGGCAAAAAAAAGGCTTTTTTCATTTGCTTTAATCTTTAAGAGGCCACCGCACATATATACCAATGAATTTGTGTTATGTTGATTGGCAGTGTAAAAATATCTTACAATATTAGGTTAATAAGTTGACCTACTATTATTTCTGATATTGTGACCTGAAATATTAAAACATTTCGTCCTAATTTATGCGATGATATTTTATTTTAACTTTTTTCCTAAAGAATAACTTCTTTCTATATTTCGATTTAACTTTGAAGCTTCTCATTTTACTAGATAAGTACTAGTTTATAGTTATATTTACGACCTTCTTGGACCGCAAGTTTCAAAAATCTTTTTTTTTCCCCTTCAACTTCATGCCGTTTAACGCTAACATAAATTGAAATGGAGGAAGTAACTTATAGTTGGAATTTAAGTTTTGAGTATGTTTTAACACCATCATGGTAAATTGGCCTACAACAACTCATAAGTACTTTTCATATTAAGTGTGATATGGTAATGTAGGAAATAAAGTAGTGATGTGGTAACCGATTAAATTGATTTTACGTACAATGTAACCGTTGGTCATAAAATTTCAATGATAGAGTAAAGGTATTATATTTTGTATATATATATATATATATAAAAAAAACTTGAACTTTGCATGAATTAACAACAAATTCAATTTATTACGCAGCAGATAAGTGTTCTTTGTAGACAAGATGTCTTCTTCCAGCAGCTACTCAAACCCTCCATGCGCTGCCTGCAAATTCTTGAGAAGAAAATGCTTGCCAAGTTGCATTTTTGCTCCTTATTTTCCTCCAGAGGAGCCAATAAAGTTCACAACCGTACACAAAGTATTTGGTGCCAGCAACGTAAGTAAGCTTCTGAATGAAATCCAACCACATCAGAGAGAAGATGCAGTCAATTCTCTCGCTTATGAAGCCGAGGCGCGGTTAAAAGATCCTGTCTATGGCTGTGTTGGAGCAATTTCAGTTCTTCAAAAGCAAGTTATTCGCCTCCAAAAAGAACTCGATGCCACAAATGCTGACTTAATGCGATACGCCAATTATGAATCAGGAGGAGGAACAGGTACTCTAATTGGTCAAACATATGGAATGTTTGGTCCTAGATATTCTTCTGCGTGGAATAGTCGTATTAATTCAGGAGATCATAATAATGGAATTGATGATGATAGTGGGAGGTGAGGAAGTTCCAGCATCACTGAAGAAAATGATAAGATAGCAATATTCTAGCTTGTTATAGCTAGATATTGTTAGTAGTATTTGTTACTATATTATTACCTTTGTTTCCCGGAGTGGAAAGCAAACCTTAATGTATAAAACAGTCCTATCAATTTGGTGGATTATTGAGTTTGTGTATATGTATATGAGGAGAAATATATGTTTCCATATATATATATATATATATATATATATTTATATATGGGAATTCTTATTTTGCACTGTATATAGTCTTTTTTGGGACCAATCTCCCGTTTTAGAAGTAGTTGAATGTGTTTTTCATTTTGAAGATAAATTTAGCTCACTAGCTATTTGGGGACAGAAATTAACTAGCAGCCGCAAAAAAAAAGGATCTTTATTGCAAATGCCCCTATCTAAAATTTCTGACTTAGCTTCTATATTGGACTTCTTTTTTTAACCTTAGTATAATGTGTTTGTCGTCGCTTGTGAACATTTTGGCATCTTGAAATAACTGTATATGTCGTCTTTGTCCATAACAGTAACCTGAATAGTTGCCTACTCTAGAGTAGGATCCCGAAAGCAAAAGCTCTTTTCTTATGTAAATATGTGAGGGCCCATAAAAACCCTGTAGATACCTGATTGTTGAATTATCTATACATATCACGAAAGAGGACAAATATATGGAATAGCTACGAAGAAACAACAATTGAGGGAGGTTTCAAATAAAATAGTACGAGATATGTGTAGAATCACCTTCCGGTCTCGCATCTTTCCATTCTTTACTTAGTTGTTTCAATTACATGATTTTTATCAAACTTAGCTCGAACTGAGCTACAATGGAGGTCAGAAGCTTCTAGAAAGAAGCAAGAACAGAGAAGAGAAAGCAGAGAACACGTAATTGGAGAAGAAGAAATCTCAAACTGATTAATTGTGTGTAGGTCCCCTTGTATACAACTAGCAATAAGAATGTAAAATATCGAATCTAATGTTACTACAGCTGTCAAATACTAACCACTAACTAACTACTAACTGCTGACTCAGCACATACTGACTAATCTAGAAAGAGAAGAAATACAGGATAAATATTTATTCTCAATACCCCCAGCCCCACCCCCCCTTCAAGTTGGAAGTGCCGGCAACACTGCCAACTTGCCTAATACAACAGAATGTTTCACTCTGGTAAGAGCTTTGGTGAGGATGTCTGTTAGCTACTCATTTGTAGTGACATGGTGCAGAGATATGAGCCAGAGATATGAGCCCTTCTTGTAGTTTGTCATGCACAAAATGACAATCAACTTTAATATGCTTAGTCCTCTCATGACACGCAGGATTTCTATCAATGTGGAGGGTTGATTGGCTATCACAGTGTACTGAAACAGGCTTGGGATATGGCACATTAAGCTTATCCAATAATTTGCATAACCAAACCAACTCCCCTACTACCTTCCTGAGTGATCTGTACTCAGCTTCTGCTGAGGATAAAGATATGGTCTCCTGCTTCATCGACTTCCAATTGATAGGACTGTTTCCCAGTAATACCAAATATCCACTCATTGATCTTCTTGAATCTAGGCATGAAGCCCAACTAGAGTCACATAATACCCTTATTGTCCTGTCCTCATCTTTTGACATGAAGATACCTAAGGTAGGATCACCCTTCAGATATCTTAACAAGAGGAATGCAGCTTTTAAGTGAGGTTCCCTAGGTTCTTTCATAAATTGGCTTAAGTGTTTAACACTATAAGCTATGTCAGGCCTGGTGTTGGTGTAACGACCCGACAGGTCGTTCTGAACCTCGTTCCCCCATTAATTGCCTATTCTGTATTTATTTGTTGTTATGAGACTTGTCGGGGTGGTTGATTTTGTTCCGAGAATGTTTCAGAGTGAATTGGAACACTTAGTCCCAAGGTTGGAAACCTAAGTTGAAAGAGTTGACCGAAAGTTGACTTATGTATAATTGAGTCCGGAATGGAGTTTTAATGGTTCTGATAGCTCCGTATGGTAATTTTTGACTTAGGAGTGTGTTCGAATATTGATTTGGAGGTTCGTAGGTGATTTTGGCTTGAATTGGCGAAAGTTGGAAAAGTTGAAGTTTGGAGAGTTGAGAAGTTTGACCGAGAGTTGATTTTGTGGTTACCGGGAGCGAATTTTGGTTCCGAAAGTTTGAATAGGTCCGTTGTGCCATTTATGACTTGTGTGCAAAATTTAAAGGTCAATCGGAGTTGATTTGACAGGTTTCGGCATCGATTATAGAAATTGAAAATTTATTAGTTTCATTATGCTTAAATTGGGGTGTGATTTTATATTTTTAACACTGTTTGATGTGATTTGGGGTCTAGACTAAGTTCGTATCGTATTTTGGGATGTGTTGGATGGGGTCTCGGGGATGATAAGGATGGAAATCGGAATAAGTTTGGACTGGAGGAATTGCTGAAGTGCACCAGGTCTGATGTGATCGCACCTACGAAGGATTTGGTTGCAGGTGCGAGACCGCAGAGGCGTGTTTGGCATCGCGGTGCGGAATTTTGCTGGCATGAGGGGATGATAAGGTGCGAGGTTTTGGCCACACATGCGAGATCGCAGATGCGGGAAGGAGAAGCACAGGTGCAATTTGGGCGAGTGGCAGCAGTTTCCGCAAAAGAGGAGTGGAGGTCACCGGTGCGACTCCGCAGATACAAAGCCTTGTCAGCAGAAGTGAGGGCAGGGTGCCTTCATGAAACCGCAGAAGAGGAATATTTGTCGTGCCTGCGGGACCGTAGATGCGGTTAAGTGGATCGCAAGTGCGAAAGAACTGCAGTAAATTATTTCTAAGGGTTCAGAGGGTATGAATTCCTAAAATACATGTTATGTGGTTGGTGTTGAGGTGACGCACATGCTAGGTGACGGGCGTGTATATATATATATATATATATATATATCGCGTAACTATGTAGTCATCTAATCTTGCTATTATTTGTGTTCACTCCATGTGTTAGAAAACTTGAGTTGTGATTCATGTTAGAGATCATGTCTAGGCTATATGCTGGTACTACTGGGACCAACAGAGGTCGTTCTTTTGTTATTGAGTTATTTGCTTAAATTGCAACTATGTACTCAGTCACATTCATTATTTGCATATCATATCTCAGTCTCTGTTATCATTTATTGTGATATCATGTATTATTGTTTTGGGCCAATTTGCATGAGTATTCTGAGCCCGAGAGACTGGATAGATTGATGAATGAGTGATGTCGAGGGCCTGATTGTGAGTGATATTAATGGGGTCGGGCTGCGCACCACAACAGGTTTTATTAATTTATGATGGGATCGGGTTGCAAGCTGCAACGGGCATTATTGACTCATGATGGGAGAGGTATGCACGCTGCAACAAGTATTATTGATTCATGATGGGATCGGGCTGCGCACCGCAGCAAGTTTATTAGCGCTTGGGCAGGATCCGCCCCTCCGGAGTCTGACATACCAACAGTGAGCGCAGGTACCGTACAATGTTGAGTGACTGGGTGTGATGAGTAAGAGTTGAGACAGTTAGATTAAGTATTCTGAGAGTGGGATTACGTGAGGTTATCATTGTGATGCATTACCTGTGACATGCACATTTGACATGTAGATATAGAGATGTAACATTTCTTATATCAGTCATACTTGGCATATTTCATATGTGTTGAGCTTAAATTGTTAAACTTGAAAGCATGTCTACATTCCTGTACTGTGTACAATTTGATTATGAGTTTCTCTAGGATTTTAATGTCATATTTGTATGGTTGTAATGTGGATTTGGACTGTACCTTTCTGAGCTCGTCACTGCTTTCAGCCCAAGGTTAGTCTTGTTACTTATTGAGTACATTGGGTCGGATATACTCATACTATGCTCTGCACTTCATGTGCAGATCCAGGTACTTTTGGGCATGGCGGTTGCTAGCTTTGGAGCTTTATCTATTCAGAGACTATTGAGGTAGTTGCCTTGGCATCCGCAGACCTTGACTCTCCTTCTTTTCAGTTTATTAGTAATGTTCTATCTTTTCTAGACAATGTTTTAGCAGTCAGACTATGTTGTCATTTAGATTCTCATGTACTTAGTGACACGCGAATTTTGGGGAATTTTGTATTGAGCCGCGGTATTTTCTTATCATTTATTTATGAGGTTTTAACTATTAAGCTTATTTTATTATGTTTTCAATTTAAAGATGTGTGGTTATTTGTGATTGTCAGCTTGCTAGTATTGCGATAGGAGCCATCACGATGTATGGGATTTTGGGTTGTGACAAGTTAGTATCAGAGCCTAGGTTACATAGGTCTCACGAGTCATAAACGGGTTTAGTAGAGTCTTGCGAATCGGTACGGAGATGTCTGTACTTATCTTCGAGAAGTTGCCGAACCATTAGGAAATTTCACTTTCTTGTAATCTTGTCGTGCGAATTTGTTAATTCCGGAAACTAAACTTCTGCCATTATATGCTCTCACAGATGGTGAGGACACGTGCTACCGGATCGGGCGGACAACCACCAATACCACCAGTTAGGGCTACGAGAGGTCGGGGACGCGGTAAAGGCTAGAGCAGCACCTGTTGACCCACCAGTTGCTCCAACTCAGGAGCAGATTCCAAATGTGGTTGAGCCGGTGGGACCAGCTCAGGCACCAGTTGTGCCCATTGTGATTCCAGGCTTTTAGGAGGCTCTAGCATGGATATTGAACGTATGCTCTGTACTTGCTCTGCTGTTTCCGTTCAGGCCACATCAGCCACTTCTTAGGCCGGGGGAGGTGCACAAACTCTCGTCGCCCGTACTCCAGAGTATGTGGTGCAGGGACTTCATACACCGGGGGTAATACTAGCCCAACCGGTTGTAATTGCTCAGGCCCAGATGGGTCCCCCAATGAATGAAGAGGAGAAGAAGAGAGTAGAGAGGTTTGGGAGGCTCAAGCCTTAATCATTCAATGGGGCTGATTTAGAGGATGCTCGGGACTTCTTGGATAGGTGTCAGCGGATTCTTCATACGGCGGGTATTGTAGAGACTAGTGGGGTCTCATTTACTACTTTTCAACTATCGGGGGCAGCCTTCAGATGGTGGGAGCCTTATGAGTGAAGCAGGCCAACCGGTGTTGTACCACTTACGTGGCACGAGTTCTCCGTTCTCTTCTTGGAGAAGTTTGTACCACCGACCTACAAGGAGGAGCTGCATAGGCAATTTGAGCAGCTACGCCAGGAGGGTATGT